ATGTCCCCTGACGTGGTCATTGTCATTCATTCCTGCCCTCCTCTACCATCTCCCCCAACGTCCCTACAGTCCAAACCAGGTCCAGGCAAGAAACACTCCATCCTTTCGAAAACACGCACAAAAGAGCCAGGAAGTCATAGCTGTTCTGTATGTGATTTAACTGGTGTGTCTGTCACTGTTTCTCCCAAGAGGAATTATGTCTGGGATGGGGCCCCATCATGGACTCCATTCAAAAGGATTTGACTCAGCCTCCCAAAGGTCACTGTCTTCAAGTATTCCCCCTATCATGTGGCCCAGGGTCCTGTTACCCTCTCTACCTGAATTCTGTCAGTTCTAGAAGGACAGATGTTGAACTTAGTGTCCAGGAGACTGCAAGGCCTCACAAGTAGTTGCTCAACATAACAGATTAAATGACATCTGTATTTATAGTTATTTATATTTATAAATATATAACTTAACTGACGTTTGTGAGAGGTATCTTTTTTTCTTTACAGTCTCGAGCAGGGTCCATAGTGTCCCTGATATTGTGACATCTTCTTGACAGGGAGAGAGAAGGGAGGGGCACACAAGTGCTCATAATCCAGAAGCCCAACCTGCCTCTGCAGCAGTCTGTAGTGAGCATGGTTTACTGGGGATCATGAATTACAGTCTTGATTCACTTTTTGAGGAGCCGTCTGTGAACCCAAGAAGCAAATGAAGCAATATCTAATGGAAAGAATGTGGTCTTAATAGTCAGACCTGAGTCCGAATGTTGATCTTGCCTCTCAAGAGCTGCGTGACCCAAGAGGGATAACTCAAACTCTCTGAGCCTCAACCTCAACCCACAACCGGGGGTACCCGGGACTGTCTTACACTGTGGTTGTGAGGACGAAATGAGACAAACATAGGCGGGACTCCAGGCACAGAACTGTGTCTTGCTCACTAAGTGGCTGTGGCTGTGATCACAGCTGAGTTGTCCTTGAGTAAATTCACATGGAAACGGCAGAGGAATATGGTGGTCAGCGACGGCAGCGAGCCCCGAACTCTGCCTCATAACCGGCATGCTGCCCCGGGGCCCTCCGCCGTATTGAACCGGACCCTCTGTCCCGCCATGGTGGTGGGAAGAAGGCGATGCGTGATCAGAAACGTACCTGGCTGCAGCTTCCAGCTGTTCTTTCCTAGGAGGGGATGAGAAAGAAAAACATAAAGAGTGTAAATTACACGAACAGCCTCCCCTCTCCCCACAATGTGCCGGAAGCTTCCCTTTGACGAAGATGGCGGTGCTCAGTGGAGCTGTAGGACAAGACGGTGAACGCGCCTGGGACCCAGTGAAGGGGAACGGGTTTCCCCAGCCAGACCCCAGGCCCTGCCGCAAGGGTGTGGCTCTGCATTCTCGGGCCTCTTCCGGGCCGCTGTTCCTTTCCTCACCCAGTGCACGGCTGCTGAGCACTTCCTCTGGCCCAGGCCTTGTGCTGGGCTCAGGGGATTTGTGTAGCGGTGGGGACAGGCCAGGAAACCAGGAATTTCGTCACTCAGCAGCCACACACCCCATCGCTCTGTCACCACCACGCCATCATAGTCGACCTCACCACCATCATCGCTAATATTTATTGAGCAATAATTATTAGGCAGATACCATGTTAAGTTATTTTTATAGATCGACTCATTTAATCCTCAAAACAACTCTATGAGGGAAGTGGTATTATCGTTCCCATTTCCCTGCTGACAAAACTAAAGCACGGAGAGGTTAAGAAAGCTGTTCAAGGTCTTACAGTAGCAGAAGTAGGAAGGAGTAGGAAGTAGCAGACTCAGGCTTCCAACCCAGGGGAAGCCCACCGTCCTGACCACGAGGCCACGTGGGGTATGCACACATTCCAGACTCTGAGCCTTTGCCCAGGCTCTGCCCAGAACTGTATTGCTAATTCTTCAAATTCCAGCCAGAGGGGTCCCTCCTGGAGTTTCTTACCCAAAGCCCCAGGGTCTAGGCTGAATCTCTTTGCACACGGCACTGTGCTCTGATCACACTGTTTTATAATTGCCTGGTAGTCTGTGAGCTGCTTGGAGCAGGCCCTCTGTCATTTCTAGCCCTGCCATCTGAGCACCCAATACCCTGGCACATGGTAAATGCACAATAAATACTGAATGAATAAGTGGACTATGGGAGAAATGGGGAGAGAATACGAAGCATCATGGCAGAGAAGCAGAGGGACCAGCTGGGGGGTTTCCAGCTCAGGGTTCAGCTCCCAGGTGGAGTCCCAGGTGGCCTTGGGCAGGTCACTTCCTCTGGGCCCATCTCTCTGCCTGAAGCATGTGCACAGAAAGCGCTCTGCTTTTCTAGAATGCTCTGGATGTCTGACTCTGGAGGTGGGGAGAACATTGAGAGGAGAAGAAAAGGGTGGGGGTGGGTGGAGGCCAAGAGGTGCGCTGGGGTGCCATGGGGAGCAATGTTAAAGAGACAGAGCCCCCCACCCCCATTTCTTCCTCACTCTCCAAGACAAGGATTCCATGCCGTCTCTATCGTCACACTTCCCACCTCTGGCTTCCCTCCCAGGCTATGAATTTGACTCACTTCTCACTGAGAGAGAGCTTCCCCATGTCCCATCACCAGGTCAGCAGCCACATACACCTGGCCCTGCGCCCTGGGCTTTCCTTCTGAGCACACAGATGCAGGTTCACACTCCACTCGTGCCCATCCTCCACTCGTGCTTTAGAACCCACACCTCTGCCTGCTCTCTCCTCCAGTCCTTCTCCTTCCCTCCATATCCACATTGATCCCTCTCCATTAGACCCTTCCTGTCAAGGAAAATGCCCTGGCCCCACATTACTCTCCAGCTGTCATATGCACTTCCTGTCCCCACATGCTCATTTCATGTCACTCTTTATTCCCTGTGAGCTGGCTTCAAGGCTCCAACAACCCCCAAACGATAAACATCCAGGGGCCACTTCCCCGTTCGTGTCTCCATCAACCTTGCGACAGAATCAGCACAGTGGACCCCTTTCTGTTGCCGGTTACATCCCCAATGCCAAACACAATACTTGCACTTGAGAGAGGCTCAGTAAAGGCTTGGTGAATGAATGAATGAATGAATGAATGGGATAAAGAAATAAAAGATCTGTAACCACATTCCAGACAGGGTGTTTCAGCCCTGTGGTCACTAGCAGTGGCTTCCTATGGGTTCTTAGTGTCTTCGTTTCCTGCTGTAACACCAATACTTCCTTCCGGGCCAGATTCAACCAGAGGAGACTGAACACCTGCTGTAAACCAGGTGCTGTAAAAGGTGCTTCCACACATCCTATTCAATTTGACCTTCACGACAAGAGTCTTCAGAAATAGGTATTATTGTCCCAGTAACCCTTGTCTCATCTTACTTTTACCCAATTTTCTCCCTGAAAAACTCCGTCTTCCCAGAGATAACAATGGGCTTTGGCATAAGACCTGGGTTCGCCTCTTTACTTACTAGGGGGCGACATTGAGCAAGCTAATGAACCTCACTGTTGCTCTGGATTCTTCACCTATAATATTTTGCACATGAAAATGGAGTTACCTCTTCTTCTGCTCTTCCAGGGCATTCTAAAGACTCAATGACTTAGCATGTATGAAAGCGGACCCATGTTACTTGGCCAAAGGGAAGGATGACTGGATATGTCCCCCTTCTCCATTGCTAAGCATTCTAGTGATCTTGCCGCTGGTCATAAAAGGAAAAGGTTCTGGTTATACATAAAATTAACTGGGTCTTCTTGGTCAAGAGGCTTCTACCTGTGGGGCCTAAGTCTTATCTCCATTTTAGTTCTAATGTCTAATGATTTTAGAGCTACAATGTCCAATATGGTAGCCACTGGTCATATCTGACTATTTAAGTTGAAATGAAATAAAATCGAAAATGTAATTCCTCAATTGCATGAGTAACAGACAGAGGCTCAAAAGCCACATCTGGCTAGGGGGACCACATTGGCACAGATGTACCGTAGATAATTCTATCACTGCCTTTAGGGAACCAAATGGTATGCAGGTTCCCTGTCAATGGAAGGCAACATGTAAGGGTTTTTTTTTTTTTTTTTTCAATTTTTTAATGTTTATTTATTTGGGGAGGAGGGGAAAGTGCAGAGAGAGGGGGACAGAGGATTCGAAGCTGGCTCCGCTCTGACAGCTGAGAGCCCAATGTGGGGCTCAAACTCTGAACTCACAAACTGTGAGATCATGACCCGAGCCAAAGTCGGACGCTTAACCGACTGCACCACCCAGGTGCCTCGACATGTAGTTTCTAATGTCTGCCCTCATCTGTGCTTGCACATAACAATGTACAACCAGCATCCCCTAAGGTCCTCCCCGTACCGTCTCAGACTCCCACTGCCTACGTGCACTAAGGAGACACAGTCTCCCTGGGCCAATAAATCAGAAGATCTGGGCTTGGATTCATAGCCCTCTGAAGTTCTTTCTAATTCAGAAGCGATGAGTTTACAATTTTAAATAGTAACAGAAAATAAAAACCAAAAAGGCAATACCATCATCCATCAGCACTAGGCCTAAACAGATATATCCTGCGAATTCACAGAGGACTGCACTGAGCCGGAAACGCTGATACGGCCCCACTCCTAGGGCTGGGCTAAATAACATCATTCTTAACGTTTATTTATTTTTGAGACAGAGAGAGAGCATGAACGGGGAAGGGCAGAGAGAGAGGGAGACACAGAATCTGAAACAGGCTCCAGGCTCTGAGCTGTCAGCACAGAGCCCGACGCGGGGCTCGAACCCACGGACTGTGAGATCATGACCCGAGCCGAAGTCAGCTGCCCAACCGACTGAGCCACCCAGGCGCCCCTAAATAACATCATTCTTCCAAGTCTTTCAGTGGAATATAAGATGATGCCACCACCACAGTAAATAGTCGGGCGGTTCCTCAAGAAGTTAAACAGAGGGTTACCAATTCCACTCCCAGGTATAAGCCCAAGAGAATTGAAAACTTATGTCCACACAACGAGTACATCAGCATAATGGCCAAAAAGTGGAAACCGCCCAAATGTGTGTCACCTGATGAATGGATAAACAAAACAGAGTGTCTGTAGTAGAATATTACTCGTCCATACAAAGGAATCAATTTCTGATCCATAGGACAACCTGGATGAGACCTGAAAACATGCTAAGTGAAAGAAACCATACTTAAATGACCACATATTATGAGATTTCATTTTTATATGAAAAGTCCAGAATAGGTAGAATAGAGACAGACAATAGGCAAGAGCTTGCAGGGGCTGGGGGAAAGGAGGAGCGGAGGGTTTCTTTCTGGGGCAATAAAATGTTCCGGAATGAGACAGCTGGTGATGAATGCTCAACTTCGTGACTACACTAAAAGTCACTAAATTGTTTACTTTCAAGGGGTCCTTTTTAGTGTGAGACCCTCCTACAGCATATGAAACATACCTCAATATGTTTTTAAAGCATAAACAAGAGACAAAAACCTATAGGGGACAGGTGAGGACACACCAATGAATTATCACCTTTACCGCTGAACGTATGGAGGGGGTTCGCAGTCAGGGACATTTTTTTCCCAAGGGACTGCCTTGTTTCAGAACGGTTGCTAAGTGACTCTGGTTGGACTTGCTAAGTCTTGCTAGTGACTTTATACTTTTGTCCTTGAAAGAATGAAAGAAAGAAGTGTTCTCTCTCAGTTTAAAAGCCATTCCCCTATCACAGCAGCCCTGCAACACAGCATCTTCCTCCGAGTCTCTGACAGCCAGGACAATGCCTTATTTATAATAAATCAACCCAAAAGAATAGGCCTGTTGCCAAGACCTGGGGCTGCCCAGCAAACAGAAAGCATCTTGGTTCTGAGCTCAGTGTGGTTGCACATCGTCTCCAAGTCCAAGGTCACTCTGTCCTTTACCAGGGAGGCCGCCTGCCCCTGCGAAGGCTCTTGTGATCCAAAAGAAAACTGATGTCATCCCCGACCCACAATGATGATGGCAAAAACAGAATTTTAGAATCAAAGGAAACCTCAGAGGCCATCACCTGAGCCAAAGGATCTAATGACAGGTAAGAAGATGCAGCCTAGAAACCCAAGCTTCATCGCTGCTTTCTGGAAGCCTTGATTCTTCCATCCCCTTGACTCCTTTGCCAGTCGTAACTCCTTGAGATATCCCCCTCTTCTTCTTCCCTTTCTGGTCCTCCACCCACCGTCCTCCTGAAGCATCTACCTTGGGCCAGGCCCCGGCTGGCTCTCACCCTGAATCCTGCACTCTTTCGCTCTCCAGTCTCCTTGTCTCAAATCCTGAGCCTGTCCAGCCCGCCTCCACACCCTTCCTGTCATCTTCCTGAAACACAGATCTGATCATGCCATCCTTGGGCTCAAGCGGCTTCTCTCTGCCCTCAGGATCAAGTTTAGATTCCTTTGCTGGTCACCTGTGATTGGTGGACTGGATGCCCGGAGTAGAAAGCTGCACCTGCCACTATGGCCTCTGCAGGAATGAGACGGAAGGCAAGGGGGGTCAGCTTTCAGGGCCCTGCAGCTCATGGTCAGGTTTTGGACTTTATTCTCCTTGTCACGGTCATCCATCAGAAGGTTTTATGCAGGGAAACGAGCCAGAAGAACCCAGGTCTCTTGAATTTCTGTAAATCTGTACCACAATCTGGCGACAGGGGTGAGGGGATATGTGAGGCTGGGTTCTGACACTGGTTGCAGGTCCCATGATAGGTGGGTGCGAGGGTGGGATGGGGACCGAGAGGGCCACTTGGCTGTGATCAGGTCGCACCAGAATCCCTGAAACCAAAGGCCTGTGGCAGAAACGGGCTTCAGAGCAGGGCCCAGCTCAGGGGTGAGGCTCGGGGTCCCTCTACTCTCCCTCCCAACCAGGAATCCGACAGCAATTCTGCATTCCTTCCACACGCGTAAACTCCCGGCTCAGGACGGCAGCGTCTACACCCTGGAGAAGCACAGTCTGTTTCAGTAGCCCAGGCAGTGAAGAGATCACGGGCTTTGGGGGCTTCTTGACGTGGCAGACATCGGCCAAAACGTCCCAAGCTTCTGAGCCCCAGCTTCGCCCCCCTGTGAGAGGAGCCTGCTGACCCGACCACTCAGCCTGTCGCCGGGAGGAGACCGTGAGCCACTCTGTCGGACTCGCCTTGGGGCATCTGTCCAAGATGCTTTATTAGGCCAGCACCATGGAAATGGCTGGAGGCGGGTATAGGACCCGAGCTCCCAAAGCCCTCCACTGATTTTTTTAATGTTTATTTATTTTTGAGAGAGAGGGAGTGTGGACAGAGGAGGGGCAGAGAGACGGGGGCGGACAGAACACCAGACACAGGCCCTGTGCTGTCAGCACAGAGCCCAACGTGGGCTCAAACTCATGCACTGTGAGATCATGACCTGAGCCGAAGGCAGATGCTCAACCAAGTGAGTCACCCAGACATCCGCCCTCCACGGATTTTAATGCCTCTTAACATTTGGGATCCTCTGGCCTGCTTCCTAGGCTGCCTGGGAGGGCTGATTGAAGTACGGACTCGGACACCTTGGATGGACTGGATATCTAGTGATTATTAACTTCTCTCTCGTCCTTTTTACAGGTGCTGGCTGTGGGCAACGCTTTTCATTTTTTCCCCCCCGAGGCCTTTAATTTAATCTACCGCCTCTAAGAACACAAAACGACACCTCTGGGTCATTGGAGGGTTCCTCCTGCTGCTTCTTCCGCCTGCCTGTTCCCAGCATCTAGAACGGTCTGTGGGTGTACAGGCCATGGCCAGGCAGGGGAAGCATCCAGAACTGTGAGCGAGGCCCACTGCCCGGGCTTCCCACTTCCTCAGACCCCGGCCCTGCTCAAACAATGATCGAACCTTCTCTTCTCAGCCCCTCCACACTGTCCAGTTGGTAACCACCGGTGGCACACTGGGGCCACCCGGGAAGCTTTAAAATTACTGATGTCGGGGGGCCCTGGGGGGCTCAGTCAGTGAAGCATCCAACTTCTGCTCAGGTCATGATGTCACGGTTTGTGAGTTCGAGCCCTGCATCAGGCTCTCTGCTATCAAGGCAGAGCCCGGAGCCTGCTTCAGATCCTCTCTCTCCCTCTCCCTCTGCCCCTTGCACTCTCTCTTTCTCTCTCTCAAAAATAAATACACATTAAGAAAGTACTGATCCCTGGACTCCACTCTTGGCATTTCTGATCAAATAGCCTGGGGTGTGGCCCGTGAACCGGGGGAGTTTTTTGAGCTCCCAGGTGATTCGAATGTGTGGCGCAGTCTGGGAACCAAGCCCTGTTCTCCAAGAGACTATGGAGCCCACAGGCACAAACACAGACCCACGGCGGGGACGGTCAGTCCCACCCTGAGCGTTCAGATAGGTGGTCACTTGCCTGAAGAACGGAAAAGAGACGACTGATTCATAGAACCTCCACGTTGCCACAAGATCAATCCTGTTTGGGTTGGTAGCATAATACCTCCAGGCAGCCTGAGGAGGAGAAGGGAGGGGCTGGAATGACCGGACAGCACCGAAACACTCACACAGAATCCCACAGCATTAAAACATTTGTGAAGCCCCTGACTCTTAAGAGTTTAAATATGCAATTGAGGTAATATCCAGAGAAGCCAGGCTTCCTAGCTTTTTGTAGCTCCTTGGGGAGGAAAACCTTCCCTGACCCACCATCTTGGAGTCATAACTGGGGCCATCGGGGTGTGGAGAAATGCGAAGGAAGGAGAGGAGGGGGCTGGGCATAAAATCCCCAGAAGGAGCAGGGTTCACTCTGGCTGCAAGGCTCCCTGAGACTTCTCAAACAGGTAGGAGGGTGCACACTATCTTTGTGCCACTTTGGGTGCAAGAGACGGCCTGGGAGATGAGGTTTTGATTCGAATATACTAGAACTTCAGGAATACCATGATGGTTTGGGGCTTGGGGGGTAACGGAACAGACCCTTAGAGACTGGGACTGGCCTGGACTCTTCACTACGTAGAATAACATCGTGTACCAGCTGGTGTCAGACCCACAGACCTGCAGAGACCATCCGTACACGAGGGTACACCGTAACACAGGTTCATGGTAGGCACACGTTCGGTCCCACGTAGCTGTAGCCGGGGGACTCCACCCTCCTCTTCTCTGTGCTCCCAACAACCCACAACACCATGAAGCAGAATCTCCCTCTGCGGTTTCAGCGGGAACACGTCTACCCTTCTCCCCACCTCTCACTATTCTCCCCCCGTCCAGCCCACAGGGCAGGAGTGATGGATCTGGCAGGCGTCCAACATCCACCGATGCATGATGGTCTACTGGGCAGGACCAACGGCCCGCTGCCCCATACTGGGCACACGTAAGGCATCTCCTTCTGTCTTGGCTCACGGGTTCTCCCTCACTGGCAGATGTGAGGGGCCACATTTCCTTGTAGCTGATGAGCTAAGTCCTTGGACTCTAGGTCTGCTCTTCCCTGTGGGTCCCTAGGTCAGGAGAGGGGTGGGAAGTGGGAAGTAGGAGGAGGAGAAGCCTAGTATGGACCCAGAGTCAAATTTTCCAATACGGTCAATAAAACAGCTGATGCCTTGGTCCCTCTCGGAGTCCCATGTCTCTTTCTCGCTTGTCTTCAAACGTGGATGGGAGAACGTTGGGACTGTCACGTTGGTGCCACACAGACAGGACGCCCATAGCCGCCCACAAGCAAGCACGGTCCTGGGCTCTGTCCTCAGTCCCAGGCACGCCCACTGTGGTGCAAGCACACACAGCCCCCCCGGACCCCCCACAGACATGAGCTCAGTCCCGACCCGGCTTATCCCCAGGAGGACAGACCTGAATGAGTTCAGCGGCCGGCTTCCTTCTTTTCTCAAAGTGCTTCTGCCGGTGCTGCTCCTGTACCTTGAGTGCCAGCCCCGACCCCAGGATGCCCTGGAGGGAGAAGTCAGGCCCGGGTCAGCCCCGCTGGCCTCTCTGGGGGCCCCACCCCCACTCCCAGGGCCACAAAGGCCCCCTTCTTCTCTGCCAGGGAGCAGGTTTTGGGTTAAGTAGAATCTCGGTGTCAGGAAGGCCTGGCTTCAGTTCCCGACTCTGCCGCTTTCTAGTGGTGAGATCCCTGGGCAAGTCACTTATCTACTGCGCCTTGGCGTCCTGTACCGGGAAGTGGGCTAATAATACCTTCCTCCTAATTTTGTTACGGAAAAAGTGAAATCATGTATAGGAGCTGTTTAGTAAGAAGAAGTATGACACAGAACAGATGCCCAGTAAATGTTGAGGGGAATTTAAAAATATTTTAGCCGCTTGGGGCACCTGGGGGGCTTGGTCAGTTAAGCATCTGCCTTTGGCTCAGGTCATGACCTCATGGTTTGTGGATTAGAGCCCCGAAATGGGCTCTGAGCTAATAGCAGGGAGCCTGCTTTGGATTCTCTGTCTCCGTCTCTTTCTGCCCCCCCCCCCCCCCGTGAGCTCACTCTCTCTCTCTCTCTCTCTCCAAAATAAGTAAATGTTAAAGAAATAATAAAAATATTTTAGTGCTGGAATTGTCCCTTAAGACTGACTTCTACCGGAAGTTCCCAGAATTGTGACCTGTTCTGGTGTCCAGGTCGGCCTCACACGTGGATTACATGGATAGAAGCCACGCCCTTTTCAAGTTAGAGGAGACCATGTGGCACCCCCACAGCCCCCAACCTATTCTAGATGAGGAGACTGAGATTCACAAAGGTCATATGCCCAAGGTCAGAGAGCTTAGGAAAAACAGACAAGGTAGGGCTACCGCGGAGGACGAGTATCGCTAAAGAGGAAGGCTGGGAGATGAACCGGGGTGGGGGGTGGGGGGGGTGAGGAAGGGCGATTTTTCCCTAAGAAGTTTCTTTCCAGCCTCGCGATTAAGAGACAGAACCCACAACCCAAGAGCCTTGTGACTGTGGAAACTTGACTGACCTAATTGGGCCTCAGTTTTCTCATCTGGAAAATGGCGACAGACACCGCACCAAACTCACGATGTTGTCATGAAGATTCAATGACATGACGTAGGTAAAGCATTTGGCACGACTCCAGCACAGGGTAAGTCCGACAAGTGCTTTCTAGGACTGTTGCTACTGTTACGCTCATGGGCGCCGGGCTTTGGTGGGTTATTCTATCACGGGTCAAGACTCACTCTGGCGGGAAATGAATTGTTTTTACATAAGCCAGGACACGAAATGACAGGACAAGGGAAGGGAGCTCACATTGACGAAGGACCTGCCACGTGCAAGGCGCTGGGGAAAACGTGGGTGGGAGATACAATCTCAGCCCCCAGGGAGCTCACAGTCTGCGGTGGGGGGGTGGGGGTGGGGGGAGGCAGCATGGGGTCAGAGATGCCTTTGCAGAGTCAGGCCCAGAGGAGGGAGGGACTCACTGAGTTTAGAGAAGGCAGCCTGGGGACTGGACTTGAAACAGCCCGGCGCGTGGACTTGAGGGGGTCTAAGGGGCTAGCGTCCACCTAGGAGGTTCAGCTGGGGCCGGGTGGGCGGCGGAGGGGTTCCCGCGTGTCACTCTAGGGTAAACACCGAAGGTACTTACCGCTGGAAGGGCAAAAAAGGAGACGCCGATTAAGGAAAAGGTGGCTGCAATCAGGCGGCCCTCCCACGTTTTGGGCGTCTTGTCTCCGTAGCCAATGGTGGCCAGTGTGATCTGAAGAGAGAAGTCAGACATGAGCCTTCGCTCAGCTGAGCTCCACCTGTCGGCCTTTTGTGCTGCCTGGGGACGTTGCCCCCCATGGGAGACCAGGTACCAAGTGCCAAGTAAGTACGTGGGAGCCTGGAGACCACACCTGTTTCTAAGTTACGGATTTCCTACCTATAGTCGATCAGCCAACAAACATTTCAAATAATTGCAAACACGTGCATGTGCATTCTTGGCATATTTACATATGCGTGATTTTGGGTAGTGCCATGTTTCCCAATGTATGCGTGCCTATGAGTGCGTTTATACATATCGTGTATGTGTGCACTTGTCTGTGCCGATGGGTGTTGTATAGTCCTGGGTGTGTTTACAAGTGTAGTTGACTGTGCACACATACTTATGAATATGGAGAACAGGAAAGCAGAGCTGTTAAGTGTGTGGCCTCTGGAGTCCGACTGCCTGAGTTTAAATCCCAGGTTCCACCACTAACTGGCTCAGGGATCTGTCTTGGCTTCATTACATACTTAACCGCTTCATGCCTCAATTTCCCCATTTTATTTTAATTTCTTTTTAATCTTTATTTTTGAGAGGAAGGGGAGGGGCAGAGAGAGAGAGACACACACACAGAATCCAACGCAGGCTCCAGGCTCTGAACGGTCAGCACGGAGCCCGACGTGAGGCTTGAATCCACAAACTGCGAGCTCATGACCTGAGCCGAAGTGGTTTGACCTGAGCCGACGCTTAACCAACTGAGCCACCCAGTCGCCCCCTCAGTTTCCCCACTTAGAAAAAGGGACTCAAAATAGAAATTGTGTTTAAAATATGTTAATACAAGGAAGGACTTTAGAGCAATGCTCTGGAGCAAAGTAGGCCTTCGGAAACTGCTAGTGTTCGTAACAAGTGTCCCTGGTGGGTACGGGGCTGTGGGTCTCCAGGTGCGTTTGAAGGTCTGAGTGCACGTGTGTGCACCTGCCACTGCGTCTGTTTGCACATGCACGGCTCAGCTGATAACAG